AAAAAAAATAGATCATAACTAAATTTATACTATTTTTAAGCTAAAATTGTTACACGAACTCTACAGCTTAAGGGATAACTAAAAAGTTTAACTAAATACTTCTGTAGTTAGGATGAAGGTACAACAGATAGTATAGAACCCCTAGCATAGACAAACTATTTAAATTAGGCACCAAAAATGCATATGTAGCTTAATATATCCTTATTGTAATTGTAACTAGTATTAATTAATAAAAAGCCTCCAGGCCAAGAAGGTTACCTTAATACTAAAAAATAGCCTCCAGGCCAAGGAGGTTACTTTAATACTAAAAAATAAATAAATAAATAAGTTAGACTATAATTAGATTTGTAAAATTACAAAATGAATTTTTCTATATATCTTTAGCCAAAGATATATAGATTATATATCTCTGGTCTCTTTAGCCAATCAAAATCGAGAAAATCACATAATTAAAAGTTCATGTGTTGATCTAATTGCTGATACAGGTTGACTGCATTGCCAGATCTGAATAGATAATCTTTTTTTTTTGATTTGATTTAATTTTTTTTGTAATTTTTTATTTATTTATTTGATTTATTTATTTTATTTATTTCAGTATTTGTTTAGCTTGTTATTTTTCGTTATTGTTGGTGCTGCTATTGGTCTCATTGTCATTGGTGTCATTTCACTTTTGCTATAGGGTTTTTTTGCAGCTACATTCACTTTGTTATTTGCTAATTAAGTTGGATTTGGTCTTGATAAGTATAGCTTTTTTTTCTTTTTTTGTTATATTGTTTTTCTTCTCTTTTATTAACTAGTTTTCTTTGTAATATCATTTCTTCTATCTTTTGTTATTAGTGCCACCATTGGTTTTATTGTTGTTGGTGTTATTTCACTCTTGCTGTAGGGTTTTTTTGTAGTCACATTTGCTTTGTTGTTTTTTCTTTTTTTGTTATATTGTTTTTTTCCTCTTTTATTAACTAGTTTTCTTTGTAATGTCATTTCTTTCATTTTTTATCATTGGTGTTACTATTGGTCTCATCATCGTTAATGTCATGTAATTAGTATCGTTATCATTATTGGTGTAATTGGTGTTTTATTTGTGATGTGCTTGTCATGTTTTATTTTGATGTGCTTGTTTCACTTGTAGTGTGCTTGTCATGTTTTTTTTGTGATGCACTTTTTGTGTTTTTTACATTTTGCAGGTTTTTTATAATTGTGTCTTTGTATTGTTGCTTTGTTGTTTGCTGATAAAGTTGGATTATATTGATAAGTATAGCTTTCTTTTTCTTTTTTCTTTATTATATTGTTTTTTTTTCTTTTTTATTAACCAGTTTTCTGTGTTATTTCTTCTATCTTTTATCGTTGGTGCCATCATTAGTACTGCTATTGGTCTTGTCATTATTGGTATTGTGTAATTAGTGTTATTATTATCATTAGTGTAATTAGTATTTTATTTGTAGTGTGCTTGTTATATTTTACTTTGATGTACTTTGTTTCACTTGTAGTGTGCTTGTCATGTTTTTTTTTGTAGTGCACTTTTCGTGTTTTTTACATTTCGCAAGTTTTTTATAGTTGTGTTTTTGTACTATTGCTTTATTATTTGCTAGTGAAATTGGATCATATTGCTAAGTATAGCTTTCTTTTTCTTTTTTCTTCATTATATTATTTTTTTTTCTCTTTCATTAACTAGTTTATTATTAGTCTGTCATTGGTGCCACTATTGGTCTCATCATTGTTGGTGTCATGTAATTAGTGTCGTATTATCATTAGTGTAATTAGTGTTTTATTTGTGGTGTGCTTGTTATGTTTTACTTTAATGTTCTTTGCTTGTCATGTTTTATTTGTGGTGCACTTTTTGTGTTTTTCACATTTTGTGAATTTTTTACAGTCACATCTTTGTGCTGTTGCTTCATTGTTTGCTAGTGAAGTTTATCATTATAATAAGTATAGCTTTTTTTTTTTTTTGTTATATTGTTTTTTCTTCTTTTTTATTAACCAGTTTTCTTTTGTAATATATTATTTCATTTACCTTTTATCATTGGTGCTATTGTTAGTGTTGCCATTGGTGCTGCTATTGGTCTTGCCATTATTGGTGTCATGTAATTAATATCATTATCATCATTGGTGTTGGAATTGTTGTAATTGATATTTTACTTGCAATATATTTGTTGCATTTTACTTGTAGTACACTTGTCATGTTTTTCATGGTTCACTTTTGCTTCATTGTTTGCTGGTGAAGTTAGATTTGTTGCTTAAGTTAATGGTTAGAGTAGGTTTTAGATAAATTGTATATTTGCATGATTGAGATAATAAAATTTTATATTTATTAAGTAATTATGATATAATTAATTGTTAATAAACTTATCTTGCATATAACATCAATTGATATAAGCAGTCTTTTTTGATTTTTAACAGCCGCCCTACTTTGTTTAGTTATTGAGTGTGTCAAGTATAACCCGGGTTTGCATGAGGAGAGCATCACAAGTACAAAGTAAAATATATACAATTAGAAATTTTGCTTTATATTCACAATACCTTCTTATACAAACCTTTGATGCACTAGGCAAGATAGAGCAGCTGTTTACCCATATATAAACTTTAAAAATTTTTCTTGGAGATTGCTTTGGTAATTTGCTATTATGTTTGCCTAATATTTTCTAAATTGTATGCATAATATAGCTTTTTCACTTAGTTTTGGCTGCAGCTAACCAGTTGGTAATAAGCTGGGAAGTTGTCAGGAAAGAAGGTATTTGGAGATCATGTAGCTGGTTAAGTTGGGCAATTGTAGTATTTAATTGGGTAGGGGCCTGGCAGTTGAATTTCAATGAGTGTTTGATTTGTCTTATAATATTGCCAAGTTGCTTGAGCTATGGTGGAGTTAGGTAGCTTTGGAGGAGAAGGTGTAGTAAAAGCATTAGAGATTTCTTCAAAAGATAGATTTATTAATTCATTTGTTTTTTGGCTATTTATTGTAAGGGGCTTAAAGTACTGTAATTCTATTTCCACCTTCTTTAAATGATCCTTGATCATTTTTATAAAGTGGAGTAATAGTTAAAGAAACTTGAACCTTTACCCTTTTTCCCATAACTTCACGTTCATATAGATATGTATAATCTATTTTATCAGTAACAACAGCTTCCCTATATGATATTCGCATTTTTCTTAATTCTGCTTTAACTTTAAAATCATTTAACAAACGGTCTTTAACAATCTCTAAATGAAGTTCACCCATACCACTTATCAAAGTTTGCCCGGAATCCTGATCAATATGCACATGAAGAGAAGGATCTAATCTTAATATATTTTTAAGAGCTTCTTCTAGAGATTTTTTTCCAGAAATACCAGCAGCCTCTACTACACGAAAAAATACAGGTGCAGGAATATCAATGGCTTGTAATCGAAGACTTTTCCGTGAGTCATTAAATTGAATTAATGTATCTCCTGTCCTTGCTACCTTAAGACCAATTATTACACCAATATTACCCGCTGTGATTGATGGAGTTTCTTCTACATCGTTTGCATGCATTTGTAGTAACTTGTTTACGCGTTCTTTATGTTGAGTATTTGTATTATATAATGTCATATGATCACCTAATTTACCTACAGTACATAAATATAAAATTAATTTTTAATGAGTTAATAGATTAAATAGGTCGAAATTACAAATTCATATACTCTTACGAAAACCATCGGACCGCGTTTGTTGTCATGTATAACCTTAAACGCAAGTGCACATAATTTTTCGTTCTCTTTCGGCAGAATTCAACAGATTCATCATCGGATAAACTTGCAATTGGAGTAGGACGATCCAACGGGCAGAATCCATTAAAGGTTGAACACCAATGTTACGAAAAGATGCCACAAAAAACTGGTACAGCTTTCCCTCAACGTCACTATACGTAATGCCTGCTTTGCATCTTCTACAGAAATTTTCATATGATCTTTTGCAGATAAAAATAAATCTAACATATTATTATCCATTTCTGATAAAGCTTCTATTAAACTTGAACGACCTTTTGTTGCTTCATCATATAATCCCATAGTGGGATATTTGCATAACAGGAATCTGACAAACCAAAGGTATTGTACCCAGTTTATACTTCATTTCTTTAACAGTTTTACCAAATCTATCACCAACTCTATCCATAAGCAATCCTAGGAACATTATAACGATTTGCTTGTGCTCAAACAGTTTGAGTTTGTGCCTCAGCACCAGAAACAGCATCCAAAATTGTTACAGTACCATCAAGAAACGCGTATACTACGTTCCACTTCTACAGTAAAATCTACATGACCTGGAGTATCTATTAAATTTATACGATAATTACGCCATGCGAAGGTTATTGTTGCTGAAGTTATAGTAATGCCTATTTCACGTTCTTGTTTTCAATAATTCATTACAGTAGTTCCATCATCAACATCTTGGAGAAAATAATAAATGAAAAAAGAAAAATTATAATTTAATATTGTTTAAATAATTTTATAACATTATTTAGATAAATATACTAAACTGATCTAATACCTTCAATTCTTCTTGTATGCCCAGCATAATATAGCATATGTTCAGTAGTAAATTAGAAAATTAGAAAATGTTATTAAATGACCTTAAAAACCATAATCTATATTAATGAAAAATTTTGCATACCAGCATCTATATGAGCAATGATTCCGATGTTCCTTGTTTTTGAAATTGAATAATATATAGTTATTTAACGTTTAATAAAAACATTTAAAATGGGAAAATAATTATACTTGAATTGATTGATAATTAAAAAATAAAATCTATAATGAACCGAATCATATCTTTGAATTTTTATTAATAGATTTTTAAAATTTCCAATAAAATTTTATCATTTTTTTAAAAAAAAATGCAGATCATATATCAGATGAACTATAAAAAATGTGTGATATAAGTTATATATATTAACGCCTTAATGTTATATAATCTAAAAAGAAAACTAAGAAAAATAGATATATAAATTTTCATTTTTTAATCACTAAATCTTCGTTAATAAATCCAAATTTTTTACACAATAAAACATTATTTTCACAAATATAACGCTAGAAACCCAAATTTTGGAACAAGCCTTATAACCAAATTTTTTAAAATCTTTTTTTCTATGAAAGTAAAAAAATTAAGCGAGTGGTTCTTGGATGCTAATGTTATACAGCTAACCATAATTACGACATCATAGCTTATTTACGGATAAAAAGTATTGCCAAATGTCATTATCGTTTAACAAAATTTTTTAATATAAAAACGCTATTTATTTTTAATCACTAATCGCTAAGTCAAATAATTTCCGTAAAACATAAGTTCTATACCAAAATCGACCTTCGAGTAATTCATTGCGGCGAATTTATGAAATTAGAGCATTTTGACTTACTATGAAATGCGTCATTTACTATTTGTTTTTTGACATCTCTTATTGTAAAATCATGTAAATAACGCCTAACCCATCTTTTTACGGGAAGATGGGTTAGTCATAATCTGTGATTTTACAATAAGAAATGTCAAAAAACAAATAGTAAATGACGCATTTCATATAAGTCAAAATGCTCTAATTTCATAAATTCGCCGTGATGTTTTATCGCGATTATGATTAATATCAAATAAAATAACAATAATACAAATAAAAACCAACTTATAGTATTTTAAAATATATAATAACAAAACTTTATTATTTTTATTTCCAACTTTATATATACATCATAGAAATTATAAAGATATAAACTTGAAATTATAAAATCAATAAACAAATCTCGTTTCGACCGAATTGAAGATTGTTTAAAATAATGTAGAAACACTCTTGAGGAAGGTTTACTATCATTCTTTAATCAATAAATAATTCCTCATAAATAAATCTTGTTTCGACCGAATTTCTTCATAAATAAATCTCGTTTAATCCATCGATTTTAAGCATATGGTTCACGTCACTTAAAGTCATCAAAGAAAATTCATATAAATTCAAATAGCTTCTTGTCTTTTAATTTAAGTGATATTAAAATATAAACCGTAAAAATAATAAATTCGAAACTGCTCTTTCAGATTTATGGCTTATTTTTTTTCTGTAATTTGTTAATTTGTAAAGTATTAAAGGTTAAAGTTAATTAATTTCCTCAAATTTCGGAATAAATATAAAAATTTCTTAGGTGACATGAATTTTTGACCAATAATAAGCAAGACATGTGACCAAATCAGATAAAAATTTCAGAATGATCTATATTTTTTGATGAGTATAGGTGACGTGAACCATACAATTGGGAGCACTCTTTTGCATTATGGCCAGGCTTTCCAACACTTAATACAGCTTCCCCTTAATTGGAGCAAGATCTTCGGGCAATTCTGGAGTAAATGTAGTCGTCGATAATGTTTAGAAAATAAAAAACTACCGAGGTGACGGTAGTTTTTTGGGAAAGGTATCTTTAATCAACACCAATTAATCGACGAACCGAAGTAAACCATCTGTCTAGTAATAAAAAAAAATAATAATAAATAAGTAAATGTCATCTTAACTCAGAATCCCGATTTTTCAACAAAATAGCATGGGTGAACATTAATAATTAATAAGAATAAGAATATATAAACATTCTAGACGTTCGCCCCTCAAATGACACGTGTTTCACCCAAGGGCTTTAATGCCGCCTAAAAGGAACGGTACTTGTTGGGTAGATCTTTTGAAGTATATGATTAAAAGCATCTAACCAGAATACCGATTTGTCAACACTAAGCACGAGCGAACATAAAAAGAACGTTCGCTCCTCAAACAACCACGTATTTCGTCCAAGAGCATTAGAGTCGCCTAATAGATACGGTATATGTGGGCGGGTCTTCCGAAGTGTATAATAAAAAATACCCATGAATTTGTTTACTTAAAGAGTTTATTAAATTAAATACTCATCTGTTTTTTAAAAACAAAATAATTTTTCCGTAGGAAATCATAGGAAGTTACGCGTAAAATGCTAACGTTGTAACGAGTATCAACTAAAGATTATATCATAAAGAGTGTGTAATATGTCGTAACTAAAAGCATAAAAACAGTGATGAAAATATAGAAATAAAAAATATAAACCTGTATCTGACACTTCAAGAACTATCTCCTTTTGCTCATCTTTATGATCAAGATATAAACAAACGCAGACGCACCCCTTCCAAGTGTTCTTTAATGCATTTGAACCTTTAAAAAAGTGAAATAATAAATTAATATAATATTAATAAAAAAAAGCAGTCTTATATGGCTTTTTTTGTTGTTGCGTAAATATTGCAAAATTTTGTGTTACCGAAAAGAACAAATATTATGACTATTCATATTCATATGGTTCACGTCACTTATAGTCATCAAAGAAAATTCATATAAATTCAAATAGCTTCTTGTCTTTTAATTTAAGTG